TAACATCAGTGGCAGGTCCCGTCACCTTCCCGCCTCAAGGTCACGGGTTCATTTCCTTCTTTACTGGCGAGCGTTCCGTCTCAGGACGGAAAGGCGCTGCGTAGATCTCCACGTCTGGATCACTGCTTCGGCAGCTCTCCGGCACGCTCCGGTCAAAACCGCTAAAAGTCTGAGGCCCGACCGAATCATCAACCGCCTGCAAACGAAATGTCACAATCGACTGCGTGAGAATGTCCCACGAGGCCGCGTTCGAGTCGGTGAAGTGCAGAGAAAGAGCTTTAAAGGTTCTATGCGACACAAAAGTGTGTTTCTACGTTCCAAAAAAACAGCTGCAACGGAAGAAACAAACATCTGCACACATCCGACCTCCACCAGCAGGTCGGTACCGATGTTCGGCCCAAACCGGCGTCTGGTGGCGCGACGCCTGCAGACGCACCGGGCGGACGTTTCAATCGCGTCCGATATTTAAGAGTCACGACCTGGACGATGGAGAGACGAGCCGGAGCCGCTGGCGTGAGGCTCCAGTCAAACGAGGACTGACGATGGAAACAGACCGAACTTCAGGAAACGAAATCGACAGATTGCTCGAGCGAGTCGACGCTCAAAGTTGCTCGAGTCGGGAATCTGAAGCATTCGTTCCTCCAATAAACAGATTGGAAAGTGGCCGATTGGCAGATCGTTGATCTCGGAATACGACCCCGCACAGGATTCTGGGTAATTAACCGGTAACGAGCACGGCGACAGTAGCACAGGATGTGTCGCGCACACACACACACACACACACACACATTACCGTGTGTCTTACAGCTGCAGCAATTTGTCACACCTCAACAAGCAGCGACTTTTAATTATTTTTTTCTTTTAGACTCAATCAATCAATCAATCAATCAATCAATCCATCAATCAATCACAGACACAATCCGCTCGTGCAGCGATGGAAGGGTCACGCCGCACGGCTCAGGAGCCCTAAAGCGTCCAGTGGGGGTCAGTCAGACCAGGTGGACAAAGAGAGGAAACCCCGTCAGGTGACGAGGCTCGTTGTGTTTCTGTTCCATCGACTCGTTCTGCTCGTAGTTATTATTAATCGGGCGAACTGCGGGAGACGTGTGGAGAAGAAAGAGGGATCCATCAGTCACAAGACACAAGAAGACAGAAGACAGCCTTCGTGTGTGTGTGTGTGTGTGTGTGTGTGTGTGTGTGTGTGTGTGTTAAATGAATGTGTTTGATAACAATTAAGTGTCTTCTTCTGCTGATGTCACAACAAGGAGAGGAGGAGACGTGCGCGTCACAGACACACTACGGGTTGGAGGAACGTCCAGGCAGAACGTTCTTTTTGTCATTTTCTAAGACTGAGGGAGTGAAGGAGTCGCCCCCTGCTGGTCACTACAGAGAATGCTGCTTAAAAACGTGAAGCATCTGCTTCACTCAGCGCACACACGCACACGCACACACACACGCACATACACACACACGCACACACACACTGGGTCGGTGAAGCTAGAAGCACACTGAAGATGTCACGGCTTCCCGCTGATGAGACGTAACACATTATTCCCTCCTGTGCAGCACTGAGACGGAAGAGAGGCGACGTGCAGCTCCGGTTTGGTGAAGACATAATTCCCTCACACACACACACACACACACACACACACACACACACACACACACACACACACACACTCCAAATGCCCTGCACATACTGCACAGCCATCCTAACTGTCAGTGTGCATCCCGGGGGGTCCAGTCAGAGCAGAGCGCTGGAAACTCACCACAAAACCAAGGTGACGCGCGCACGTACGTGCGTGTTTGGTCTTCTTCAATTAAAGGGCTGAGAAATAAAATAGACATTGATGCATTTTATGGTAAAATTACATTTTATGAGATGAATGGATAGAGAGACAGATCCACTCAGTGAGGATGCATCAAACTCCAACAAGCGATGTCTCTTAAATACATACATGTGTGTAGAACACACACACACACACACACACACACGCACACACACACACACACACGGAAATCATACTTTAAAGGTACGACTTCCTCATAAAGAGACACACACACTCACACTTTGTACGGCCACAAAGTCTATTAAAGGAGGCACTGGTCCCCCCCCCCCGAGGACCAGACCCCCCCTGGTGAAGAGGAGATGCTCTTTGCACACGGGGGAAGAGGCCTGAGAGGGACGGGAGTCTCTGGAGGGACGTGTCCTCTTGAAGGCCGTCTCTCCAGACGCAGAAGAAGAGCGTCTCTCGCGATGCAACGCTGCCCCCCCGTGGTCCTCTGCGGAGCAGCAGGGGGGCTCATTTCCAACTGTTTGAAGACTATTACACTTCTTGCCCCCCACCTTCCTGCTCTGCACCTCTGCTCCAAAGTCACAACTTCAAAGTCACACACACACACACACACACACACTTATAAGGCGCGAGCATCCCCCCCCCACCAATGCCCCCACCCTTTGTGATGTATAATTGAAGCTGTGTGTAATTTTCCACTCGGAGCTGAACTTTCACTTCTCTCATCCTTCCGGAATATTCCCTCTGAAGTGCAGACCGGCTCTTTGAAAACGTGCTGGTTAACAAGCCCCCTCGTCCCCCCCTTAGACCCCCCCCCCCACACTTAGACCCCTCCCTCGTCCCCCCCTTAGACCCCACCCTCGTCCCCCCTTTAGACCCTCCCACCACCCAGATCCAACGGCTTTCACACATGTTGAGAAAGTTCTAATTACTGGACAATTAAAGAAGACAATCTTTGGAATTGGGACGGGTTTGTCTCCATCGGACGGGCCTCTGCCGGAGGACCTGGGTCTGTCCCGGTGGCACCGATGACATCATCAAGGAGGACTCTGTGGAAACAGACCATCTCCTCTCCTGGTGGTCTGGTTTACTGGTGGAGGTCTACAGAGGATCAGGACTAAAGTGAGACTGGTTCAGGACCAGTTAGGAGTTCCTCACAGTAACAGGTTTGGTTTTAGAGCGTTGACATTAATAATAAAATATTAACCGAAGCAAATAAAAGACACATCGTTTCTGCTTAACATTTTATTCATTGTCCAAATTCTTATCAGTAGACTTGAAGAAATAAAAGGTATTTTTTCCTTTTTAAACATTCTCTTAAACAAAAATATAACAACTATTTACAATCACTCGTAAAAATACATAGAAAGCGTACGAGCAAAATCATGTTGTCTTTCTAAAAGACGTAAGTTAGGACGGCTATGAGAAGACGACACGAGAGTCTCTGTGCACCACGTCAAGCTTATTGTTGTGCATTTCTGCTGTAATGCCAAAAGAAATCAAAACACATTCACGTCTCTCTTATTGCATTCTGGGTAAAAAGAGGGCGGGACGTCTTTATCCTGATAAAAATTGTTGTGAGTTTTCATTATCGTGTAAATTGTCACAGGTGTGTTAAAATTTGTGCAGGATTTTAAAAACATCCATTATGATGGAAGACGGACTCACAAAATGTTACGTTTTTCCTCGTGGATTTAATCTTTGGCTCTTGATGATTTATGGCGATTTGTGTTTACGGTTGTGTGATTGTTTTGGGCCAATAAAAAGATGCAGAACTGAATTAAAGTGAGTCCTCACAGAACGAACAAACCGACACACAAAACAAACGGCGTCATTTGGAGACAAATACTGCATCAAAGTTTAGCTCTCAGAGGTAAACAGCTGCTCTCAACATCTGGGCTCGACGCACTAACACTGATCGATCCGACGAATACAGATGTGCAAGTAAAGACAACAACGGCCGAGTGAAGACTCGCGAGCGTCAGAGATTAAAGAAAAAACACACACACACACACGCGCACACACACACACACACACACACACACACGGGTGGGAGGAGTCACAGAAACAAGAGACTGGATTATTTCTTATAACAAAATATTCAAAAAATACCCTTTGTAGAAGCTCTGTTCTCTCATTTATACATGACGCCAGTTTACAGGACAAACAAAACAAAAAGTACACACACACACACACTCACGTATTTATATATATGTATATAAATACATGTGTGTGTGTGCCATGTAAAATATCTTCAAGTCTTTGTGGCAAAGCAACCGAAGAAGAAGCATCACAGAGCGACACACAGCAGCAGAACATCTGTATTCCAGAAACACGCCGGCCGATAAACAAAAGCAAAACTTTCCCACAAATGTACAAATCTGCTTCCGCTTTCAATACAACTTTAGTTTTTTTTCCAAGCAAATCCTTTAAATATTCTACAAAATGTGGAGTGGAGATGCACGGCGACGTCGTAACTCATTTCCTTAACGAGTCGACGTTTGTGTTCCCGCTGCTTTATTAACAAATGTACAAGGTCGATGAGCCTGGAAGTCAATACACAACTAGCCAAATAAACACTGTAAACAAAGACGTAAACACGGTCCTTTAGCACACGAGTGTGTGTGTGTGTGTGTGTGTGCGCGCTGATTCGTCCTCTTATTACAGCTTCTCACTCTGCGTCCGTTGCTCATGAGAAAGGAGCAACAACAAGGATTCAGTCCGTGTGGTTCCATGAGAGATGCTGCTGGAGGAGACGTGAGCTCCCATGTGCTCGGTTTGTGTAAATACGCATCATCAGTGGCAAAGGACAGTGATGATGAAACTGGTCCCCTCTGTCCCTTTTGTCTCCTCCTCGTCCTCACGTTACAACGTTGCAAAGCTCAGAAATGAAAATAACAAACAAGCAAAATAACAACATCATAAAAGCGTAAGAACAAGGTGAAACCGGTCTGAGGAAAGGAGGTCGTCGTTTATTTCTCCTTCCGTCTCCTGTCGTCTGACTAAAAGTAACTAAAACCTTCTTCTGTCTCGTGAAGCAGCTTCTGAACAGAGACGACGGTGAAAGGTCTCTGGGGGCGGCGAGCAGCGGTCACGTGACCCACAGAGAGGTGCATTGTGGTCCGCGGTGACGTCAGCGCCGTGTTTGGAGGATGTGCCCTGATCAACAAGTGTGTGTAGTGTGTGTGTGTGTGTGTCTGTGTGTGTGTGTGTGTGTGTGCGAGAGGCCGCCATCTTCACACCGCCGACACTTGCTCATCTGGAGAAGAGGAGACGGGTTAGTGACAGGTGACGGTGTGACATGTTTCATCGTTTAGCGTCTTCATGTTACTGATGCGTGTGACTAGTAACATGTTATCACATTTTATTACTACGAATACGTCGTCACATCAGATCAAATACTATTTAACATCTTCACGCTCGTGCATAGTATGAGCACATGAAGCAAAACAGTGGAGCAAGTAAACCGTCTACGAACAAGAGCATTATTGTTATTATTGTTGTTATTATTGTTATTGTTGTTATGGACTTGTTGTAAGATCCGCTGGGGGGCCGTACCGTCCTCGCTGTCGGCCGGCTCCCGCGGCGGGAGGCAGATGCTGGGCGGTCTGGAGCTGCTCTGCGTGGAGCCGGCTGTGCGGGGGTCCTGCTGGAGGAGGTGGGGGTGGGGGTGCTGGAGGTGGGGGTGGTGGTGGTGGTGGTGGTGGAGGAGGTGGTGTTGGTTAACGGCCAGCCGCCGAGCCTCAGCCAGACCGCCGGCCCCCCCGGGGCTCTGCAGGAGCTTGCTCCTCTGCAGGGCCACGCTGTAGTCCGGGGGTCTGAGGTGGGGGGGCCTGGGCAGGGGGACCCCGTCCGCGAGGCCCAGATCCCCCAGAGCCAGACCCTGGTAGCCTGGAGGGGTGGGAGGGGGAGCTCGGTAACGCTCGTCCTTGGTGGGGGACGTGACACAATACACTGCATGGAGGTGCAGATCAAAAGAAAGGAGGGGTGGAGCCAAGGGAGGAGGGGAGGGGGGGGGTGAAGGGGGGAGGAGGGGGGAGGAGGGGGGAGGAGGGGGTTGCAAAAGAAAAAAAGAGTGAACAAATGAAAAATGATGCAAAATAAATCAAAGTGATGTTTCTCCAACACAACACACAACTACACAACGTGCACACAAATGTGTTGGAAATCAAAAGGAAGACAAAGAGCCGATGAGATGGATGCACACAGACCCAGAACCAGACCCAGACCCAGACCCAGAACCAGACCCAGAACCAGACCCAGAACCAGACCCAGACCCAGACCCAGAACTAGAACCAGATACAGACCCAGAACCAGACCCAGAACCAGAACTAGACCCAGACCCAGAACTAGACCCAGACCCAGAACCAGAACTAGACCCAGAACCAGAACCAGACCCAGAACTAGAACCAGAACTAGACCCAGAACCAGAACCAGAACTAGACCCAGAACCAGACCCAGACCCAGAACTAGACCCAGACCCAGACCCAGAACCAGACCCAGAACCAGACCCAGACCCAGAACCAGACCCAGAACCAGACCCAGAACTAGAACCAGATACAGACCCAGAACCAGACCCAGAACCAGAACTAGACCCAGACCCAGAACTAGACCCAGACCCAGAACCAGAACTAGACCCAGAACCAGACCCAGACCCAGAACTAGACCCAGAACTAGACCCAGACCCAGAACCAGACCCAGAACCAGACCCAGACCCAGAACCAGAACCAGACCCAGACCCAGAACCAGAACCAGAACCAGAACCAGACCCAGACCCAGACCCAGAACCAGAACTAGACCCAGACCCAGAACTAGACCCAGACCCAGAACTAGACCCAGAACCAGAACTAGACCCAGACCCAGACCCAGAACTAGACCCACACAACAGTAAATAAGATGCTGTGGTTTCGTGTTGTTAGCCGAATCGAACCCGCCCCCCCTCACCTATCAGGCCTTTCTCCGTGCTGGACGTCACCGTCTTGTAGGCGGGGTCGGCGCTCTGGCCTCCTTCCTCCTCTGCGGGCGAGGGCGGGTGCTCCGCGGCGTTCCGCCGCTTTACGGTGCCGTAGTTCCCCTCGTAGGCGTCCGACAGCGAGCCGGACGACGCCCAGCTGCGCCGCGACTGGCTGGACAGGTCCGAGCTGGAGTTCCTGGAGTGGTGCCTGGCGGCGGCGGCGGCGGCGTCCTCGCCGGCCCAGGCGGGACCCGCGGCCTCCACCTCGGCGATGGGAGGCTGCGCGTGCCTGAAGGCGCCGGGCGCCAGCGGGTGGCCGTGGATGCCGTGGTCCCAGGGCCGGCAGGAGGACGCGGGAGGCTCTGGAAGGAGTCGTGGGAGGTGGACGAGCAGGAGGTCCAGCTGCCGCGCCCGCTGTCGGCCACGGAGTCCAGCGAGGCGTGGTCCGGGGTCAGCTCCTCCGTGGAGATGGAGGGGGTGAAGGCGGGGGCGCGCGTGGCGTAGCCGCGGGCCGCCGCCGAGGAACTGAGAGAGAAGGAAGCAACGCGATAAATAACACAGCAGCGAGGTGGAGGAGGCGGAGGTCGAAAGGGTCATCGGTCAGCTCCTTACCTCGTGCCGGGCGGGAGGCCGTCGCAGTTTAGGTGCGCGTGCGTCGCCGGCGAGCTCTCGGCGACCGGGGCGGGAGCGCGCGTGCCGGCAGCGGTTGCCGCGGTAACGGGAGCGGGCACGGAGTCCCCCGAGCAGACGCTGGAGCGGGACGAGATCTCGCTGTGGCTGGAGTCCGACAGGTTATCCGCTCTGCCGCCGGGCGGCAGGAGGCCGTAACCTGAGCCGGGGGAGAGAGGCGACATTCAGCAGCACCAACAAAGATCTATCGAACCGGACTTCAGGATTCAATCAAGAGGAGACGACGTGCTGCGCTCTGTCTTTAATAGCAAATACTTCAGATGAAGACGTGAATGTGGGGAACTGAACTGGGACGGACTCTCCGTTTGAAACGCACGGCAAATATCTTCAGAACCAAATAAACTGACTGCAGGGAAACAAAATACCTCAACCGTCCAAAATACACAACGTGTTAAACAGTGATTTCAAAGTTCAGGCAATAAATCAATTTCACTTTGAGGTTAAAAAGTGAAAGAAAGGTCGGGACCCAAGTGGTGCTGAGGAAATCTGTCCCTCGCGTCCTCTGTCGTTCACGCTGTCCAGCCCACGTCCTGCGTCCCCTGCAGGTTCTGCCTGAAACAAGCCTGACTTTGTCCTCTGTCCCTTCAGACGGTCTTTCTCCTTCTGTCCCTGCAGAGCCACAGGAAGGGGTTGGGGCTGACCGACCTGCCGGCCCCCTGACTCTCGCCCTGAGGGGGGGGGCCCGCGCCCTCTCCCTCCTCCCCCTTCGCTCTCTCCCTGGACTGACTCCTCTCCCTCAGCACCCTGAACGGGGACGTCAGCCTGGTCCTGATGGGGGGCCGGGGGTCTCTGGGTCTTCCTACATTCATCACATCTGCCTGAGCAGCCTGGTGGTTCTGCCTCCCGGATCTCCCCCCCCCGCCTCTCTCAGCTGCCTGCGTCTCCTCCTCGCTCTCCTTCTCCCCTCCGCTCCTTCTCTCCTCGTCCTCTCGCTCCGTCTGACTCCTCCCCTTCCTGCCGCGCTGCCCGGTCATCAGCAGGATCCTCTTGTGGAGGAGAGCCCCACCTATTCCGTAGTTGCGCGGCGCGACGGCGACGGCGACGGCCTTGGCGCCGGCGTCGCTGGTCAGAGACGACGAAGATCCCGACAGGTTCATCTGGCTGCAGTTCTGGGACTTGGCCACGCCCCCCACTGAGGAGAAACAGAACATTAGATCACTGCGCTCTCCTCCCCCCCGTTAGGTGACCTAGTTCCTTCAATCCTCCTGATAAAAGGAGCTGGGGGGGTGAGGGGAGTGGGGGGGGGGGGTCGTCTCCGGTGGCTGACCTTTGCGCGGGGAGCCCTGAGGAGACACCGTGGGGCTGGACTGAAGGGAGGAGATCATGGACACGCTGTCGTCAGACGGCCTCTTGGAGCTCCACTCCTCTGACGAGATCATCACGGGGGGCTTCTTCACCACCTGAGGAGAGCTGGTGTCTGGGGAGGAGGAGGAGGAGGAGGAGGAGGAAGAAGAACGGGTCAAACCCGTGAAATGAGACAATGAGACACATTCTAAATAAAAATCCACTTGAAGCGAGTCTGACGATGACGATGACGATGACGAGTACTAACTAGAAGGGCCCATCTCCTTGCTGGCCGTGCTCTTCTTCCGTAGCGGGTTCAGAGGGACCTGGACCTGAAGGACTTGAGACACCCGGTTCTGCGTCTTCCCTAAAGGCAGAGTGGCTCGCAGGGACACCGGAGACATGTCCGACTTGGTGGACCGTCTGTCACTCAGGTTCTTAGACACTGGGAGGGAGAAGAAGAGACGGATTTACCAACGGTAGACGTCCCATCCTACATCACGATATGCGAATTACCCAAATGTCAGAATATTTATGGGGACTTTTGTTCTCCCTCTACTGGAAACATCAAGACCAACAGTGTTTCACTTAAATGATGAACATCTATTTAATATAAAAAGTGTCTCTCTTTCTCCTGCACTTCTCTTGCAGGCCCACTAGGTGGCAGTGTGAGCCGACGTGGTCGGGTGACGGGCAGAAAGGGTTTGGCGGCTCGCTCACAGGTGCTGTAGGAGGCCTCGCACTGCAGGGACATGACCTGGTGCTTCTCCTCGTCGATCTCCACCGTCAGGTTGGACAGGTACTGCTTCACCTTCCTGGCCATCTGGGCGTCTTCGTACAGCTTCTTGGCGTTGAGCAGCGAGCTGCGGCGCACTCGCTTCTTGTGGGCGCCGCCCTGCACGTCCAGCATGTTGGAGTTGGTGCTGCCCTGACTCAGAGACCTAATGAGGGAGGGGGGGGAGGGGGTAAAAGTGTCGATGGATGAGAAGAGGAAGGATGGAGGAAGATGGAGAGAACAGAGGGAGATGAATGCAGGAGACAACAGAGGAAAAGCAGCAAGAGAGAAAAAACATCATGTTTTTCTTATCAAACACTTGGCCTACGGTAGAAATATGTCTCCGTGTTGCGAGCATTTTAAAAACGGCACCATGCAACCGCAAGGGGGGGGAGGGAGGGGGGAGGGCAGCTCTGGCTGCCATGCCATCACAGCACAGAGCAGCTGATGCATTCTGGGTTAGGAGAACAAAGAGATGCACAGGATTCGGTATGGGGAATGTTATGGCGGATGCAGGTACATGAGTCAAATAGTGTCTGCAAAGATCTCTCAAGGTCTGTTTGAAGGTTGGTGGGATGAGACACGCAGGTGACGCCATGTCCACCTTTCCTTCAGCTTTGGTTGCTATGATACGGAATATACAGATCATAGAAGAGAGACAGATGCTAGGGAGACAACAGGAGGACTCTGACTCCCCAGAAAAGACACGTCACATCTTTGTGTCCCGCCTCTCCTCTGCTGGGATTGGAAGGTTGGGAACAAAGGGGACAGATTTTTACCCGAATTAAAAGAGTTTAGTTAAACTCTGGGCAGACAAACCGCGTCACGCCGAACAACGTGGGTTTAATAGAATAACGACCTTTAACCAAATCTTCTGGAAGCAGTAGAAGTCCACATTTAATTTTATGTCCTTACTTACTCATCTACAATTCATACGACTCATTCTGCAGATGGAGATGAAACATCTAGAAGAGACTCTCAGGGCTTGATGGATGTTTCCATCTGGAGCTACTATGTGACTCAAACACTCAATGGCGGACTTCAGGTGAATGAGCACTGAGGGTTAATCGCACACAAGCACAGGCGGACACGCGTGGACACTCTGTAAAGTAACACGGGGGGGGGCATGCAGAGGTTATAGTGATTTGGGGGGGTGCAGGGTGAACTGATATCTCTGCTGGTCCAGGCCGGATGAAAAGAGTTCCAGGACAAACTTACCCTAAACTCTTCCACCTCTTCTTCCTGCAAGCAAGAGGTGTGAAGATTGAAGCGTGACTTAAAGACAGGTTTGGGGGGGGGGGGGGGGGGAACAAGACTATGTAGAGGTCATGCCACCACAGACAAAGATGAAATGACTGGAGGTGGAGGACAGAAGACAGAAGACAGAAGACATCTCCCCACATCAACCTGAAGGCAGTGTGTGTGTGTGGCATCCTAACAAAGACCGGTCGTCATGACGATGGTCCAGCGGGGGGGGGGGGGAAGGTGGGGGCGCACACTTTGAGCCCTCGGCCCGCACAGGAAGTGAGTGGTGTGGCCCTCGGGTGCAGTCAGCTGGGCAGGTGGAGGATTGGGATGGTGTAGTGGTGGTGCCCCCCCCCCCCCCCCCTGGTGGCACCAGGGGTTTGATTTCGGGGACTTAGGAAGCTAAGAGAAGTTCTCCACCTTCTCGGCTTAATGACATATTTAAATGATACACTCAAAACTGTGAACTGCCCCCCCCCCCTCCCCTCCTCCTGCCCCCCACCCGTAGATCAACAACCACCAACCTCTGTCTGAACATGAGGGCCGGGTCCATGTTGGCTGAGGTCAGCCGCACTACGTGTCGGATCTCCTTGGCGATCATCCGCAGCTTCTCAAAGTTCACGAGGCCGTCCACGCTGGAGTCATTGCCTGGGAGGACGAAAGGGAGTCAGATGAGGGGGAGGGGGGGGGGGGGGGGGTCACGGGACGCATGTGTGGAATCCTCACAGTAAGAAGTGGAAATCATCTAGTCTGGAACATCAAAGCTCTCTCACATTCAGTCACGCTGCAACATCTGAAGGTTTCTTGGGCAACAAACGGGGGAAAACCTTCCTCCTACAGCAGCAACTCGTCTCGGCTTTAAGAAGAAGTCGGGTTTTGATCTGACTCTCGGTGATACGCAAACAAAAGGTCGAGATGAGGAAGCCTCAAGCAGAAGTGAACCTCCCGAGCGATCTGAATTGCCCCCACACTGAGCCCATCCCAAAATCCCCCAGCCGCGGATTATCGGAAACGCCGCGGCAGCTGAAGCACAAGAGACGAAGACGCGTACCTTCATGCAGGAAGGTGAGGTCCTTCTTGACCACGGGGAACAGCGGGATGATGGGCGGCTGCATGCTCTGGCTGCTCAGGACGTTGCGGTACTTGGCCATGTTCCTGGAGGGGTCGAAGACGTCCTGCAGGTCCCCGAACAGCTTCTCGTACTTGCTGGGCAGCTTCTCCCACGAGTTGCGCAGCCGGGCCACCGGCGCCAGGTTCAGGCCGCTGAGGAGGGAAAAGGGGGGAGGAGTTTAGTTTTTCACGCTGAAGGATTAAAGTGGCGCTCTCGTAAACATCAACCAGCCGACGGCATTGGGACTTTCCTGCAGTCCTTCTCCGCTGAGCCCACCTGATGATAGCGAACATGGGAGTTGAAGTTCTTGCACTCCCTGCAGTGCAGCGCGATCTTGATGAAGTGCTTGATGGTCTTCATCCTCTTCAGGGCGTTGGGCTCCTTGAGGATCTCCGTGGCGACCCAGAAGGTCTCCTGGTTTATTACCTCCTCGAACTGCTTCAGGTGGCCACTGCCCAGCGAGGAGTCCAGTTTGAACAGGTCGTCCACGTACCTGGGACCCACCACACGGAGGTTAGAACATTAGAACATTCCCACGCAAGATCCTCCAAAGTAATGTACACTAATATTATATATGTCTTATAATAAGGTCAGCAGCCAAGCAGGAAGTGAGCAACGTACTCCGTGGACTCGATGTTCCTGAAGAGCTCAAAGTCCCTCATGGAGAGCTGGGCGGCGACCTCCATGGTGCTGAGCTGCAGCAGGGAGATGTGGCTCTCTCTGAGGAGGTCCTGAGCGTCCTCGTCGGAACACAGCGTCTCCGTCTCCATGTTGTTCTTCAGGTAGTACCTGGGGGAGGGGGGAAGGGTGGTGGATCAGGGGCATCACCATTAACTGAAAGCGGTCGTTCGGTTTGTAGGTTTATAGGCCTCAGCGTGTGAATACGTCCTGACGGAGGGTGAAATGTTCACGCTAACCTAGATGGGAGGCGACGGATGAAGGAGCACAGGAGCAAACGCCGCCTCAAAAGTCCCACTGAGTTTCCCTTAAGAGGAACGTGTCAGAGCGCAAAACGACGCAGGAGAATAAAATATCCTTCAGCAGCTGCGATTTATAACTCATCAGTTATAAAAACCTACGTTTTCCCTTCATATTAGGAAGCAGATGCTCCTCCCCCTCCCCTCCTCCCACCTAGGACTCCTCCCCCTAACCCTCCTCCCCCCGCCCACGCCTCCCCCTACGTCTCCACCCCCACACGCCTCCTCCTCCCCCCCAGGACTCCTCCCTACGCCTCCTCCTCCCCCCACACCTCCTCCCCCTACGCCTCCTTCCCCCCCTATGCCGCCTCAGCCCTCGCCCCCCCCCACGTCTCCTCCACCCCTACTCCTCCTCCCCCTACGCCTCCCCCCCCACGCCTCCTCTCCCCCCACGCCTCCCCCCACGCCTCCTCCCCACACGCCTCCCCCTACGCCTCCTCTTCCCCCACGCCTCCCCCTACGCCTCCTCCCCACACGCCTCCCCCCCCCCCACGCCGCCTCCCTACGCCTTCTCCTCCCACGCCCCCCCCCCACGCCTCCTTCCCCCCCACGCCGCCTCCCTACGCCTTCTCCTCCCACGCCCCCCCCCCACGTCTCCCCCCTACGCCTCCTCCTCCCCCCACGCCTCCCCCCCCCACGCCTCCTCCCTCGCCCTACCTGCCGTTGAGCTGGATGCGGTCGGCCAGCTTGGAGAGCTGGTCGGGCAGCCGGCGCTGCTTGATGACCCCCTCCGGGCTCACGGACACCTCGCACAGCGAGTAGGTCTCGGGCGCCGCCGGGAGGCCGAACTCGTTGACGGCGTGGGCCACCACGTCCTTGGCGGTGGTGTCCTTGCTGATGATGATGTAGCAGCTCTGCTGGTCGGCCTTGAACACCCGGATCACCTGGTCCGGGATGTCTGAGAGCACAGCGGCGAGGACAGGGGGAGCGTTTCAGGGTCGGGTGTGAAACCATGCTGGCAAAAGACCAAAGATAAGATGATGGTGCGCTGTTGCGAGTTCCTGCGGGAGAGTTTCTCACGGACGTCTTCTCGGCATGTATCTAGTCGAACAGGGAAAGGACTTGTTATCACTGTTTAAAATGGGCGGCATTTGGTTTTGCAAACCTTCTTTTACATAATGATAATAACGTAATTCAAATTATTTACACTCATTCCATTAATGATAGCGAGGTAGAGGCCCCAACATCCAATCATCTCTGACAAAGACTTCCTGATTAAAACACCCTCACTTGTTATTTCCTTCATCCGGGGGGTGGTTCCACAATGAATTGACCGCGGTTCTTAGGTACCCCGCTGCAGATATGGGGTAATAACGGAGCGTGTCGGGGGGGGGGTGGTGGGGGGGGCTACTTAATCACGTTTACGGCGAGCAGCGACCTGAGCGGCACACAGGAGGAGACAACCGCTGATCAATTATCGTCCTTAACAAGGTGTCATTGTTAATAAAGTGTCTGTATCAGCAGGGAGTTCACCGGGCAGGAGGAGTGGGATGAACGCAGCGACGGCGAGGTGCTGATAGGAGGGTGGAGGAGAGAAGGGGAGGGCGGAGGAGAGAAGGGGAGGGTGGAGGAGAGAAGACTGCTGATGTAGTACAGACGGCGGTTTTTAGACATTATACATGTTGTATAAATGAGGATCTGAATGATGAACAATCGGCGAGAGGAATGACTTATATTATATATTTTGGTATATTTAGGAGGATCTACTAACGCAAATAGACAAGGTAGTAAAATAAACATTCTCATGTGTATTTACGATATTTTCTTCCCTTAATCTGAAAGGAATCGTAACAGAATTTCTATGGATGCAGATCTGAATAGATAAAGGGGGCGTGGATTGCGGGTAAAGGGGGCGTGGCCCTGAGGGCGCGTATACTCACAGTAGAGTCCCAGGGCTTCGCCAGCAGAGAGGAGAGAGAGAACACGTGAGTGAGTAAGAGACACAGAGACAGAGACAGAGACAGAGACACAGACAAGGAGACACAGACACAGAGACAGAGGAGCACAGACAGAGACACAGACACAGACACACAGAAACAGTGACAGACACAGAGAGACACAGACACAGACACAGAGACACAGAGACAGAGACAGACACAGAGACACAGAAACAGAGACAGACACAGAGAGACACAGACACAGACACAGAGACACAAAGACAGAGACAGACACATAGACACAGACACAGAAACAGAGACAGACACAGAGACACAGAGACAGACACAGAGACACAGACACAGACACAGAAACAGAGACAGACACAGAGACACAGAAACAGAGACAGACACAGAGACAGAGACACAGAGACAGAGACACAGAGACAGAGGCACAGACACACAGAGACAGAGGAGCACAAAGCGAACATCATGACCGTAGCAAAGAGAAATCTGCTGCTGCTTTAATTGGTTTGTGCAGAGAGGCGGAGTCTGACTCAGCGTTTCTAACATCTGGATACGATCAGGACGAGAGAGACCGGAGACGGACGAGAGAGACGGACCGAGGGAGGAAATAAAGTGTAAACAAGAGGAAAAGTTTACCGAGCCCCCTAAAAGCCGTAATCTGAGCAGCATAATGAATCTGTGGTGTTTGTCTCTTTACATGAATATTTACTCTCCTCTTTATTAGAATATATATATATATATATATATATATAGAATGTATCTGTGATTAAGAACAACGATGTAAATTGTTAATGATATGGTGCTCAAGTGTTTATAAAAGTAGAGCAGCTCCACTTCGCAAACGTCTCTTTGCTCACGTTCCTCGTTGGCTGGAAACCAGTCAAACGCCTCACGGCTGGTGATGTAATCACAGCTACGACTTCACGCCGCGCTGCTGAATCACAGGAAACGTCACCCAAAGAGACACGATTCGTGTGTGTGTGTGTGTGTGTGTGTCTTTGAAAAATAGCCAGTAGAATAAAAAGACTTTATTCTCTTTCCCGCTCTGTTTCACCTCGCCACTTTCTCTTTTCACGTTCTCCCGCTTTCTTAATATTTCATTCACACACACACACACACACACACGCACACACACACACACACACACGCGCGCCTACCTGCCGGGTTGGAGAAGTCCAGCGCGCTGGAGGCCGGGTGCAGCAGGTCGGGGCTGCTGGACGACAGGTTCCCGGGGATGGGCATGATGGCCACGCTGTGGCGGCACTGCTTGGTCCCCACGATGCTGTCGTCCTGAGACTGACCCACGCCGCCATCACTGGAGGGGGGGGGGGGGGGACGTACATTCTGCTGCATCAGAAAACTACATAGTGCTCCTGCAATGTGAGGCTTTCGTTTGGCCGCGATAAGACATTTTCGGAATGAGGAGATCGTGGACGGCGCGGAGGGAGATGTGATCCACAGGCGTCCTCCTGCAGAACGGTTCCAATGTCACACGCACAAGACGATGAGACGCACACAAACACACGCACACGGGCCGCAGAGCGGCCGACAGGAAAACGCATGATTCATAAATGAGGCTTCGGCTCAGTCGGATGTGTCTGGCCACGTCATGCAGCCGAGCCGCTCGGGGGGGATATGCAAACACAACCACATCTGCACACATGTGACAGATAAAGATCAGCTACTGGAGGCTAAATGACGCTTTCTTAAAGCCTCGAAAGCAGGAAAAATATGATCGGAAACCTTTTGAACACATTTCAACTAGAGGTGGGAATCTCTTGGCACCTCACGATTCGATTCTGATTCAGAGGTCAACGATTCGATTCTAAACCGATTATCGATTCTAAACTGATAAAACGATTATCGATGCATCTTGATTTTCAAAATGTTCTCAAATCTGAGTTTGCTACTCAGAGGTTGCGAATCACTTCCTACTTCATTTGATAATTAAAGAAAATCAACAGATGAATTACATTCTCTAATTTTTTATAAGAGAAAAATAAATCTTTGTCACAAATATGATTTTCTATCAACAATGAAAGAACCAACGCAGCTTTCATTTCAACACAATATGAAGTAGCCGAGGTAAAAAATATATTAAACAGATTCATTTTTCTTTTAAATGAATAAAAAGCTGCTCTTAGTCTCAGGCCGGTCCGTATTTGTAAAATACCGGAAAAAAGTCTAAGATGTGCGCAGGCTCCTCCATAGTTCGGTAAAGTTATTAGATATTCAGACTCAGACTGACGGACCGGTCTGCCAGCTGGACGCGTTGCTCTTAATGTGCCGGTAATGATGGTTGTAGCTGGTTGTCGTCTACGCTCCACTACGGTTACCGAAGGGGGGCGTTTGTTTTATCTCATAATTTCTACTTTCTATCCCCTTTCTTCAGTGCGGAAATGGGCTTCTATAGTTGTGTGAGTGCATCACTCCAGCCAATCCAAAGACAGGGTTTGTAACCAATCAGGTGTAGAGACCATGTGACTGGCTCCGCCCCCTTACTGTCAGAAAGAAAAACAGCGAGCGCGTAGAAAACACCTTCGAGTGCGAGCAGAGACCAACCTTCACGCTCCGCGAGCGAGCAAATATCTCGCAAGAGATGAACTTTTTTTTTTTTTTTAGATTCCCATTATTAACTTTTCTGAATCGAGACCGAATCGTTCTAGAGAGAATCGAGAGAAATCGAAGAATCAATTTTTTTCCCCCACCCCTAGTGTTCAACCCGTAGTGGCTGTAGTTTGACTCCCTCTCTCCTGCCTGCTTTCCCTCCAGGTGTGTGTGTGTGTGTGTGTGTGTGCGGATGAACTGAACGGAATGGTTGGAGGACGGGGAGTAACGCAGGAGTTCTTACCCAAACAGGCCCCTGAGGCAGCGGAGACAAACAGGAGAGAGACGACGTTCAAAAGGGGGTAAAAGAAAAAAGAAAGAAAGAGAAATAACAGCAGCAGAGGGACGAGGCCTCTCTTATATAACACACACACTCACACACACACAGACACAGACACACACACGCGCGCAGGTCGACAGAACGTGCTGCAGACTGAGATAAAATGCTGGAATAAATGAGCAGAAAGGTTCATAGAAAGCACATGACAGGAAATTGCAGGATTCGCGAGGAAAATCCAACTCGACTGTTTGACCTCGTTTACAGAAACAATGAACGTCAGTGAGCGAGCAGCCGGAGTCACATGACCACTTCCTGCAGCACGCATTTCAGCTCCCAGAACACGATGTCGTCAGTTCTCTTCAACTGCACAAAACTCCCCACGCTGCTTTAAATTCACCATGGAAGCAAACGCTGGGGGCGACCTGCAGGACGTCTCTCTCTCCGGATGATATTACATATATGCATGTATGTCTGTGTGAAAGGACTCTGAAGGCAGCGCTATCTGACGTAGCTGCAGACCACTAAATCACACTGAGACCTCTGAGACGGACCGACCGGAGGCTGAAAACCTCCAGCTATCGCTTTCCGATCCGCCCGGCGCAAATCAAGCGCTCGGGTCAATACGCCGCGTGCGCGCCCTTGTCGTATGAAATCCTCGTCTGAATGAGAGCGGAGCACTTTGCCCGTGGATGCATCCTAAAGAACTGAGCACAAAATGATTGAATATGTTGAACGTCATTGTCTTAATACCAGCCCCCCCCCCCCCACGTGGATGATGCCATCCCCCGTCCCTTTCAATCAGTCTCCCATCCCTTTGGACCAAAGAGCGCTTTGAAGCGCGCCGACGCAAATAGAAGTGATGTCATAATCACAGCGAGGGGCTGCGGTTCGCTTAACGAGGCCCGAGGAAGCGCGAAGCCATGAAATGACACCCAGCGTGCGTTAAGCAGATTGCTTGAAATTGCTCCAGACGCCGCGAGTCCGGCGGCGGTTATACGACGATGATGATGTTGCTCCGAGCAGAGAGGTGAACTGCTGCTGTAACCACAGCTTAAAAGTCGGAGGCTTTTCGCCGCGTTGCCTCCAATAAACGGCGAGGGAGCACTTAAGGGAAGTCGGGGGAGATCAGCGCGTTTCCAGGAGCGCGTGCAATAAGTGGTGAGTGGATTTGTGCAGGCAGAGGACCAACCTGACAGGACCCTACTGCTCCACATTGGTTTTCCCATAGACTGCTATAGGACGTCGCCCCCTGGTGGACGGCTTTAGGGCGCTTTAACACCCGCCTCGCTCTCCAGAAGCAGCGGCGTGAACCCGCTCACCTGAAGGGTTTGGGCGGCAGTATGCTGAAGCGCGTCTTCTCCAGCATCTTGCGGATCTTGTTCCGCCCTCCCGACACGGTGTTGGCCTTCATCTTCCTGGTGCTCTTGTGGTCCGAGGGGAACTCCATGTCTCCGGGTAGGTCGGGGATGGAGAAGCGGTTGCCCTTTTTCTCCTGGATCTTGGGGATGTGAGGAGCGCCGTTCTTCTTCTCGTGGACGACCCTGCTGAGGAGCTCTTTGAAGACTGGACGGACAGAAAGTATTAAACGTGAGGTGAATGAAAGAAAACTAACGTGCGATAGTGTGAGAGGACAAAAATGATCTGGCCTTTGCTCACCAAATATGTTGGTCTTGGCTGTGAGGGACAGGTGCGTGTTGTTTCTCAGGATGTCCACCGCTTTGGAGAAGGAGATGTTCTCAAAGTTTTGACCGTTGATCTCCATGATCTGTGAAGAAACAACTAAATTATAGCAGGAAAAAAACCCCAATAAGCATGTGACAGACTGCAAACAGGCGACCAGCATGGGACCGGTGCTTTCTTTTAGTGTGCATGGTGCATGCTGGGTAGTTTCATGTCACCACAGCAACAGAGGGGTCTGCAGTTATGCGATTTTTTGGGATATGCAACCCATGTTTCATTAAAATGTGTGTCTTTATTAAAAAGGCAATAAAGTACATGCATTAATTTAGACTTAATTGAACATTTCTCCTCAGTAGCTTTACGGCTATTTGTTGTTTGACTTCTTCTTTGACTTCTTCCCAGGCTTTTTTATATTTATAGTATATTAACTTTAAGAAACTCCCTTTACTGTTTGTGGTTCCTTTTTCTCTTTCATTTACACTTCACCAGAAAAGTCCAACTGAGGCAACGTGAGACAACAGTTTCGTTAACAGGAAACTGCGATAAAGAAAGAAAATACCCCAAAAAGGAACCAACCGTTCTGAAACCAGAGGCTCAGGAAGGCGCACGTGACGCCTTCTCTGCAGGTCTCCTCGTTCACACCGTAACAACTACATTACATCCCGTTTGGGTTCAAATTGACAGACTGTCACTCTGGCCTGCATCCCATTTAGCTGTGACGTGTCTACATTCTACCCCAATCCCATACTTCACCCCACGCAGCATTTAATTATGTCATTTAATGCCATATATTCCACATTAACCTGGGGAGTAAACGGATGCAGGGGCCCGATGATTTCATCCAAACCACCTGATCCCGGACTGATTAACTTAGAGGGTTGCACACCAACGCTCCTCTCTGGGATAGCGGCGAGTGAACCGCAGTGACCTATAATCAACTTAAAAGGCACTGTGAGGAACTAACTGGTCTCAGTTTAGTTTTGGTCCCCTTTGTGACCTCCATCAGTAAACCAGACATTCTGTTTCCTCTGGAAGCGCCATCGCTGCCACGCTGCTGCCACTCTGCTGTCATTGTCCTATAGTACCCATCGGCCCCCCTCACCTGATCCCCCCGCTTGAGTCCGGCCTCTGCAGCCTTGCTTCCTGCTTCCACCGACTCCACGAAGATGCCGAAGCCCCTCTCGCTGCCGCCCTGCACGCTGAAGTGCAGCGGCGACTCCCTGGAGGCCTTCTGCAGCGTGACCTGCCTCCACTTGGCTTTGGCTGCACACGCGATGTTCAGCAGCCGCAGGTGCCCCTTCATCTTCTGAGAAAGGGGGGGGGGCGCGGTGAGTCCTGCATTCACCATGGCTGCACGGCGGTAACAACGAGAGCGGAGCTTGATCTCACCGTGGCTTCCAGATGCTTCTCAAAGTCCTCCAGGAAGTGCGTCATGGCCGGGTCGCCCTCGAAGTCGTTGAAGTGGTTGTTGACCCACAGCAGCACGATTCTCGTCACCTGCGAGACACGAGCAGCTGTTCAGCGTCGACGCGCGCTAGAGAGCTGAAGGAGTCGTGAGGATAAAGGTTCGCCAACACGAGCGCTTCAACTCCGGCCTGCTGGCACGGTTGGAAAGAGGAAGCGTCGCACTGGAAATAAAGATTTCTTTTTATTTCCACGTCCGCTACACGTTCGACCGACGTGGAAATCAAACCTGAAGCAACGTTGCTGGCGTGATATCAATAACAATACATTGTTAACTGATTATTTACATCTGCAGTGCTGTAGGAAATAAAATATAGAAAAGAAATAGATTTCCTGGCCTCTGCTTAACGTCAGCTGTTAAATAACGACCTTCTTTCCGTCCCGCAGTGATCAGGCTGAAGCGCAGCTCAATCGGGACAATTATTTCTGCTGAATTACGCTGGCGGAGGCGTCGTCTTAAGGTTCAGTCGCCCCGCCGCCCCCCTCCAACCCTCCTAAACCCCCCTCGCTTTCAGCACCAGCAGATCAGGAGCCTGATGAGACTAATCTCAGGTTAAAGCGCTTTGTGGACGGAGAGGCTGAGGACGGCTGAGCCGGCTGAACTCGCATCGATCGGCACAACGAATGTCCATCGACGTGCATCACAGCGTTATCGAACGCACGCACACGCACATGCACACGCATGCACAGACACACCAGAGAGACAGCCCCTCCCCCCCTCCCTGCTCACCGTGTCCCGGAGGCTGTCCATGTGGAACCACTCCAGCAGCTTCTTCCCGACCTCCATGGGGTTGGACAGGAAGGTCCTGTAGGTCAGCAGGAAGTCCTCGATGTAGGTGGGGTCCACCACCGACGGCTCCTCCACCAGGTGCATGATCAGGCGCTCCGGGGTTCCCTGGGGGAGAGGGCGGGGGGGGGGGCAAGGTGAGGACGCATGGAGCAAACTGTAGCCCCACACAAGGACACAGATAATCTATACACACACACACACACACACACACGTACACACCGTAAACACAAACACAGCAGAAACTAGAGGCCGCGTACTCGCCGGTTTGAATAACTGATGTGGAGATAAATCATAAAAATGACACGGGTGAAAACGGTAAAGATGCAAATATTGAACTGAGCCGTCGGCCATCGATAAAACAAGACACACGCACACACACACACACACACACACACACACAAATGCACACATGTGCAGAAAAGCTCCTTTAACCAGACTGCATTTTTTTCCAAAGGTCTCAGATATTTTCTGGATTTGTATAACAGTAAATTTAAATAGAATAATCTGTCTCCACCTTTTATTTTATTTATTGGTGTTTATCAAGTATTTCTACTACAAAAGGTAATCGTGTTTTGTCCACCGTGTTCTCAAATAAAACACGCATGACCACCTAAGTGACTATAAAGCGTATCTGCAGCTATTTTAATAATCCATCATCGGCGCATCGTCTCACAAACTCTCGTCTTGTGGTTTGGGGCGAGTTCGTCGGCGCATCGGGGCAGAGGTTTCTGGGGGAAATGATTCATCTCGCACGGAACAGAAAGTAGAAAAGGCACCGCTTTGTTAAAGTTAAGTTAAAAACAGAAGCGTGACCGCTGCTGGATTGACTCATCTCCACTGGGTGCGTTTGGTAGCCGACCGCCGTCCTCGGGAGGCGGGAGAGTCGTTCAGGCCCATTAGCTGATCAATACGCCGCGCTGCGTCTGGAGGCTCCGGGGGGGTCAAAAGGCTGCGTACGGGAAGGAAGGCTCCAGCACACGCTAAGAGGGCTGAAGGGTCCTCCGCTAAGAACATGAGGGGGCTACGTCGATGTACTTTGAAAGGAGGGTGCTCTGATCAATCGGAGGCATTTCAGCCCGTTTAACAATGAAAACAGCTTCCTCTTTGAAGGGGTCGGCCATTAAAGACACAGTTCAAAGATGCGTTTTATCAGCTTCACCCAACCACAGACCCTCCTGCCTCCCCGTCAAATACTTCATCGCTATCGGCTCCCAGAGGAACCTCCTGCAGCTCACCTTGATGACGATGTGTCCCTTGCGGGTGCCGCTGCGGTCCAGCTCGCGGTGCTCCTTCACCATCACGATCTCGCCCTCCTCCTCCACCTTGTGCGTGTTCTTCTCCACGTGGTTGAGGATGCGCCAGTAGTCCTCCTGGGCGACGCACACAAACTGCTCGAGGAAGACATGGGGGCAGCGGGTCAGCTTGTAGTAGAGCCAGACGCTGCTCGGCACCATCGTCGGGTACTCCCACAGCAGCAGGGGGGAGGCATGGTGGCGGGCTGAGAGCGGCATGGCGGGCGGACTCTGCTTCATTCCCCTAACTAACTCATATAAGAGCCGGCTCAACGAGCCATGTCTCCCCTCCACTCATCATCGCAGAGAGGAGACAGAGGCGCTCCTCACTTCTCTACAGCCTCTGAAGCAGCAGTCTCTGCATTTTTTCGTGTCAGAAGACAGGAAGTGATGCAAAGGGTGGAGGGAACTGGACAGCGTGGAGCGAAGGGGCTGTGCGGCCTGGTGCCGCGCCCCTTTAAGCTTTGTGGACTGACATGACATGCAGCTCTATATTAAGCTTCCTGTGAGAGAAAAGACCTGCACGACTATTTGAGAAGACTTCTGAGAAACACACGAGGGGTCTGAGACTTCCTTCACCTCCAAGATCACGGCTTTTGAAAAAGTGACGAGCGGTTCATCATTAACAATAACGAGCTGTAATATTCCACGACCTTTGTGCCTTAATTGACATATGCAAATATCCATTTCTTGCAACCTTTTACACTGTAGTCAGACAAATAAACTCAGCTGCTCCACACATAGAGCTGCATACCTTCCCCTAGAGCTGCATACCTTCCCCTAGAGCTGCATACCTTCCCCTAGAGCTGCATACCTTCCCCTAGAGCTGCATACCTTCCCCTAGAGCTGCATGACATCACACAGAGCTACATTACCTCACCTAGAGCTGCATAACTTCACATAGAGCTGCATAACTTCACATAGAGCTGCATAACTTCACACAGAGCTGCATAACACCACACAGAGCTGCATAACTTCACATAGAGCTGCATAACTTCACATAGAGCTGCATAACTTCACATAGAGCTGCATAACTTCACATAGAGCTGCATAACTGTACCTGGCAGTCGTCCCCCTTGGTGCGGACCTCCCCGTTCATGTGCTGCTTCTCCAGAGAGGGCGAGATGCCGAAGCTGTTGCCCATGCAGAGAGTCTCCGCTCTGGGCTCCTGGTGGCTGATCTCCACAGCCCCGTTTAAGATGACGTACCAGAGGTCCAGCTGCAGACACGAGAAGCACAAGGACCCTCAACCAGACATCCTGAAAACATCTAGTTACATATTATGAACCATTTAGTTATGTTGTTAACACTGACGCCGGCTGCTGGGTCTATTGCATCCGATCCGAGCTCTTCATACTCGGCTTTATGCTTTGTTACTCTTTAGAGCGTGCAACCTTCAAATCTCTAGAGGAATATATATATATATATATATATATATATATATATATATATATATATATACACACACATATGTATGAGATATACTGTATATACATAACTTTTTAATTTAAATGAAATACTGAACCATGAACCAGAATTCCATGCATTCACTTACGTTGTAAGTGTAAACATCAGTGTAAAACTGGCCTTGGAATCTAAATTCAACCTAAAATTGTGACACATATTAAGCGTGATGAATCCGCCAGCGAATGTGTGGTAAACTGATTGTATATTTTACATACATGAATCTAAGGGACCCTCTTACAGTCCTACCTCCTGCTTGTCGTGCAGAATGACGGTGCCGGCCTGCTCCACCACCTCAAACACCATGACGCCGCACAGGTCTCTCCTCACGGACATGGTCATGTTGGCGAAGGCCGGCAGCTGGTGCATGAACTCCAGGAGTTGCTCTATTCGGGGGAGAAGAGAGAACATGATTTAAAGAGCAGGGCGGACGTCTCGGGTTAAACACACACTGATGATTTGAGAGAATTTGGGGTTATTTTGCTTGCAAAGTCTTTCAGACTAGAGAAAGAAAACCTTCAGGTTCTTTTTTTTTAAGCTTTGTCTAATTTTCATATTTAAAAACAACATTTTTGAAAACTTGTTATATGAAAAGAATCCTCTTAATGCAGTGATAAAGTGCATGTTGATATCTGCTCTTTAATTTAATAGATGCTCCTCTTAATGTGGTGATGAAGTGGTCTGATTGCCTGATTAAAAACACCCACTGGAAGGGCTCCGCTGTTTGCGTCGCTGTCTTTATTGAGAAGTGAAGTCTGCTTTTCAGTGTTTTGGTTTTCGTCAAGACACATATATGGAAATATCCATATCCGGGTAAACTAACGGCCGACTCACCAATGTCGTCGTCGTTGCGGTCTGCCGGTTCTTTCTCCAGACACTCGCGGACCAGGTCTCGGCCCAGGAGGGTGTCCGAAGCCCTCTCCAGGTCCTCGTCCTCCTCCTCCTCTTCCTCGCTGTCCACCGCCGCCTCCGGGAGCCCGGACAGGTCCACGTCCCCCAGCTCGCTCTCCGTGGCCTGCAGCAGAGACCCCCGGTGGTTTCATGTCAGTGACATCACAGCTCTGTTGCATTGCCCCTTTATTAGATGTGGACTTTCCGATTATCTCAGTAAAGAGACCAGCTAGTCGTTACAAGAGATACTCACACAGAAAGGGGACCACTCTGAGAACTCATACAAACGTAGAGAATATCGTATGTTTTCATCGTCCTGTGTACATTTTCTTTATCTAGAAATAATTCCTCCTTGTTCATTTGTGCTGATTATCTGGTAGGGGAGAATTAGAAGAGTGGACTACAAGAAGAACTCCCTCCCCAGCAATGCTCTCCAGCTGCTTGTCTTCTTTGGAGATTTGGTAGCAGGCCAAAAGGGTTTTAAAAGGCTCCTCTGGAGGGTTTAAGCTCGCAGTCCACCCGGGGTTCAGGCCCAGATCCCCTCTTGTTTACATCATTTAGAGGACTTAAAACACACAGGCCACTCGGCTCTGCAGTCAAATACTAATTTTATTCATGACAAACAGGATTAAACAGGCTGATTTATTGATCCACATCCCATACTCATACAGAAATATTGTCCTCTTTGTCTCATGTCTCGTCAGGTCAACACTCAAAGTACTGTGACACAACTACATTTGTCCTCATCTGCTGTTTGTGATATTTACTGCAGCACTAATGGCTTTTGACGGAACACATTCATCTACAAAGTGTGAGGGGATCGGTTCACCGGACCCCCCCCCCTAAACTGGAGAGGGAGGAGGGGAAGCTGAGCTAACCCGGCGAGGACCTGAGGCGCCAGGAGGACGAGGGACACCTACAGCTGTGGGAGAGACGCAGGTTCGTGGTACAGGCAGGAGAGGAAGGAGAGGAAAGGAGTGTGATTGACAGGGGGAGGTGTGAAGACAGGAAAGGGCAGAGGGGGGGAAACAAGATGGCAGAGGAGGAAGTGCTGGAGCGTTTGACAGCTGGGGGGCCACGGCTGATCGGAGGGTTGTAAACAAACACAGACCACGAGGTGATGGGATCATATCTGTGTGATAAATATCTATCCGCGTTACGCGTCCAATTAGATAAAAGATAAAAGCTGCACTTTCCACTGGATGAGCGCGTGCGTTTGCCTCGTTGGAGGTGATTTTTATGTTCACGCAAAGCCAAGAAAATGAGACGTCTCCTGATGTGAGATCATCTCCTGCAGCCCCTGACACAAGGAACCCCGGCCTTCCTGTTGAGGGAAACTTCACCAGCAAAGTGATGCCATACACAGGAGGGGTGAAGTGGACAGTGAATGAAGTGGAATCAGACTGGAGTGGACGGTGAATGAAGTGGAATCAGACTGGAGTGGACGGTGAATGAAGTGGAATTAGACTGAAGTGGAATCAGACTGAAGTAGACGATGAATGAAGTGGATCTGACTGAAGTGACTCAGACTGAGGTGGACTCTGACGGAGTGGAATCAGACTGAAGTGGACTCAGACTGAAGTGGACTCTGACTGAAGTGGACTCAGACTGAAGTGGACTCAGACTGAAGTGGACGCTGAATGAAGTGGACTCAGACTGAAGTGGACTCTGACTGAAGTGGAATCAGACTGAAGTGGACGCTGACTGAAGTGGAATCAGACTGAAGTGGACGGTGAATGAAGTGGAATTAGACTGAAGTGGAATCAGACTGAAGTAGACGATGAATGAAGTGGAATCAGACTGAAGTGGACGGTGAATGAAGTGGAATCAGACTGAAGTGGAATCAGACTGAAGTGGACGATGAATGAAGTGCAATCAGACTGAAGTGGACGGTGAATGAAGTGGAATCAGACTGAAGTGGACGGTGAATGAAGTGGAATCAGACTGAAGTGGACGGTGAATGAAGTGGAATCAGACTGAAGTGGACGGTGAATGAAGTGGAATCAGACTGAAGTGGACGGTGAATGAAGTGGAATCAGACTGAAGTGGACTGTGAATGAAGTGGAATCAGACTGAAGTGGACTGTGAATAAAGCGGAATCAGACTGAAGTGGACGGTGAATAAAGCTGAATCAGACTGAAGTGGACGGTGAATGAAGTGGAATCAGACTGAAGTGGACTGTGAATAAAGCGGAATCAGACTGAAGTGGACGGTGAATAAAGCTGAATCAGACTGAAGTCCCGATGTCACAGCCGCAGAAGGTAGCTACTCCTAAAGGTAGAGACAGAGCTCCAAAGGTCAGGTTGGCTTCCTGCCTGTGACCTTTTGTCCGCAGCAGGATGTGAACGCTGATGCAACAATTAGCGAGATACCGTGGATTACAAGGAGGGGGGGGCACAGGGGTCGGCTAGCAGGCAGAAGGAGTTGCAGTAACTCCACCCGCTGAAAAACGCATCATTACCTTTGGCCTGTCATGGTGGAAACTAATAACCAAAGAATACCACTTTAGAAATATGTAATTGAGGAAAGAAAAATGGGATATTTCATTAATATGCCCTTATTGAATAATGTATAAACCCCAAAACATTGTACATATTAAACATGCAGTCTGGATAAGAAATAAAATCATTTAAAGTACCCACCTGGTAAATGTCTGACAGGCTGCTACTGCCCGAGTCGCTGGCGATGCTGCATCCTGATTGGCTGGGAGGCATGTGCATCACCTGCTGATGGGCGTGGTCTGTAAGGTGCATCTTATTGAGGTCGGCAGGAAGCTGTTCAGACAGACAGGAAGTGGTAGAAAAAAAAAAAAAACTGAGATGATGATTTGAGGTCAACCGAAGAAAACACACAAACTAACACACACGCGTACACGTGTATACGCACACGCACGCGCACACACACACACACACACACACACACACAGTTTCATTAACCTGAAAGCCACAGCTGGTTTGCCACCGTGTGACACGTTCTACTCAAAGATCAACAACACGAGGAGGATGGAGGTGGGGACACTTCAGATGGCTGTGATGATTGACATCTGAGGCACAGAGGAAGTGGGAGGCGGGTTTCATGGCAAAGTGATGAAGCAGTAAATTCTGTCTCGCTAAGACAAGGCGGGTCCGGCTTCCTCGCGTGTTGTTTCCTACTCGCTGAAGAGACGAAATTCATTGGATTCTATTTTGTTATCAGGTTTTGGACCGATGGCTCGCTCATCCTCAATCAAGACGGCAGAGAAACGGGTCCCCAGATCAGTACCTGACCTTTGAACCGCTGTCACACAAACGTCCAGCATGCATTGCGCCAATCAGACACATGACCTTATCAGGGTAATAATAAACCGTTCAAACATTGTGAAGATCCATAATCATTCATAATTCATTCACAGAGGCGCTGCTGGTTGCAGTTAACAGTCACAGTGGTATTTGTGGATGAGGACATGAGAGGAGGGAGGAGCCTTTACATCAGTGTTCATCCCACTAAACTCCATCTGAAGCTTTGCACCAGATACAAATCACAAGCCAACACGTTCTAACTCCACCGCCATTGCCTCATGTATGTAAACGTGTGGACAAAAGGCTTCGCTGGGAGAATGTTCCTTTGTTTCCACCGAGCAATGACAGCAATGACCTAAATAAGTAAATCAGGCCCATTTCACAAGAGTCCTCTTGTCCCAGAAACGGCGAGGAGAACTGGGTCCGTCCCGTGAGCTTCCTTTTTACCGTTTAAGAAGGAGACCTGCAGGAAGCTTCTCACTCTGGTCCTCCAAGTCTCAGGTCTTACCAGTTCGGATCTGGGCGGCGCCAGCGTGAGCGACGAAGTCCTCCTGCGACAACGAGCGAACCTGCAGCACGCCTCCTCCATCGCCACGCCGGTCCGAACACACCACGTCCCGTCACACACGCACAGCGACACCTGCACACGCACACGACACCTGCACACGCACACGACACCTGCACACGCACCGCCCTGCCGAGCCGCACTGGCTGTTGGAGGCTAGTCAGGGCTGCGAGGAGCCGACATGCAATATTGAAGACGCACAGCGCTGCCCCCCCCCCAGCACTCCTCTTATAGGTCTGTTGTACTGTGCGACCCCTTCAGCACTTAAACCCCCCCCCCCCCCCCCCACAGGGAGGGTCTGAGACGCCCAGCGGCTTGTTCCTAATGCGTTGCATATTGGAGGAGGAGCACTCGAGTGAATGAGTGAGTCCTGCTGCTGTTTGGGGCTTTCCTTAACGTGTGGACGCCGGGATGATTAGCAACCGCTAACGTGGAAGCTAAAGGGCGTCCGATAAGATCCACAAATGAAATTCATCACTATCACATGAACACGAATACTTTCTGCTCCCACGGTTCAATGCATCCACTGCTGTTTGCAGACCCTTTTGATTCTAATCTAACACACACACACACACACACACACACACACACACACACACACGTCTCTGACCAAAGGAGTATTTAAGTGAAATCCATTTACCATCAGGATAATGAATTGTTTCACTTAATGAGCTGCAGGCGACTCCTCGACGAACGCACACATAGTAGACTCTATTAGCTTAGCTTCCCTGCTGTTGACCGACCCTCCGCGGTGTGTGTGTGTGTGTGTGTGTGAGAGAGTGAGACAGACCAAGCGAGAGGGCGACAGGTACTGATGGTGATTTCATCGTGGGTAAATACTTATTGATCTTAGCGTGACGGCGTGGTTATGAGCCGGTGATGATGAAGCCCCCCCCCTCCCTCACTCCCCCCACGTCCCCTTCACACAGTCGTCCATGTCCCCGTCCACAAAGACGAGGTCGACTCATTCATCCGAAGGGCAGACCGGCAGCGGTGGGACCGTTACTGGGGGAACAGGGGTCCTGGGGGGCCGCAGACAGAAGTGCACCATAGACTGTGTGGTTTAGGGATGAACCATTTGGATTTCTTTTCAGAACACGGTTCTCCACTTGACGGAAGGCCTTCGATGCCTTACTCTGCCGATAGGCTGAGAGGACGCGGGTCTTTATTGCCGTGGGACTCATGTCCCTCGGTTCATGTCCCTCAGTCCCTCTGGGATCAACGACGCAACACTGGCTGAATAAGGAACGATTAATCGCTCTCGGCTTTTTCCTCAGTCAGAGGACGAAAGGGAGGATCCTCAAGGAACAAACATGACGGCTGCCACGCCTTCATTCGGTCCGTCAGGGACTGAGGTTCCACCTTCATGACCACGGGACATTCGGCGGAAGCGGCAAAGGGAGGCGGGGTTTAGGAAAAGGTCAACGTGTCACGCCACAGAGGAGGCGGAGCATCTGCTGCTCCCTCACAGGCCGGCTAACGCCTACTGTAGGACATGCTTCCTAACTAAAGGAAAATACTGATGAGAAGATTGCGGTGAGATAGGAAAGGGGGGGGGGGGTCCTCAAAACATTTTTGGCATGAAATACGTGCAGAGGGAGTTAATGAGGCTATGAAGGAGGAAAAGGGGAGGGAACAACTGTGGCGGCCTCGCGGCTCCCCTTCACACCACAGACGTAATCCTGCTCCAATACCCTACTCTTCATCGGAGGCGAGAGGAGGAGGAGGAGGCGGTGGGGGGGGGGGGGGGGGGGGGTTCTCCTCATGCATTAGAGATGAGAGCCAGCAGATTAAATATAAATGTGCAGACGACGGGACGGAGGCTTCTCTAAATGTTGCGTTGCTGTCAGACGGGGCGAGCTTCTGTGACCCCCCCCACCCCTCCCCCCACGATCACGTCCAGAGTCTCATCACCTCCAGGGACCAGAACCTGTCATCTGTCATAATACGGGGAGGCAACATTCTGCCCCAGAGAGCCGCTGCTGGGGTAAGTCAACAAGCTGTCAGTGAGAAGTGGACCTCAACCACGACGCGGCGGTTTGAAGCCGACCAACGCTAAGACATTTACAGACACGGGAATGAATGAAGACTTCTATATGAGCAGAGCGGTCGCCCCCTGCTGGTCACTACAGAGAACGCAGGTGACCTCACTTTTTAGCACCGGAGATTAAAACCTATTAAAACACTGTATTTATTCTGATATCAAATTACCAAAAAACGTTTTATAACCACATTTGTCTTTGTGTTGACCAACTCAAGTCAGGATCTACATCCACTACCATTCGATGATGGCGAGGATGGCGAGGATGAAGTGATACCGCTGCTGATGGCTGACAAACAGACACCAGCCGGTAGGAGGGTGAGTAGGAGTGTTTGTGGTGACGGAGACGTGCACGGTGAGACAAAGAGACGGGAGGGACAACAAAGAGGACGAGGCTGATGGATCCTGAAGAGGATGATGATTAAAGCAGCTTCAGCGAACAAAAAGATGGTACACAACGTGTTTGGAGGTCGTGGCGTCACTTCTTACAACATCCCAGCTGAGTGAATACAGGCCTGGTGATGGAGGGGGGGGGGCAGACAAAGTGCTGATAAACGTTGATAAATTGCTTAACTCGTGTTTTTACTTTCATCTTAAAGTATTTTAAAATCAGGCTACTTCTCACTTTGCAGAAGGTGCATTGCAAGGACTAAGAAGAAACGAACGCCACGTTGTGGAACGGACTCGTCAGAGAAGGCGCCCGTGGTTCAATGACACGCGGCGTAAACGCTCTTTAAACCAGAGCTTCTACTCTTGGAGCAGGTTGTCATGACCTGAGACTCAAACCTGCACCACCCTGGCGGGGGGCCGCGGGGGGGGTACAGATAAAACATACACACTCACATTCATGCAAAGACGTACATACAGATGATGCTTCACTGAGGGGAGTCCACAGGATGAAGATACAGAGACACTGGACCGTGTGTGTGTGTGTGTGTGTGTGTGTGTGTGTGTGTGTGTGTGTGTGTGTGGTGGAGGGGTGGGGACAGAGCAGCGGGGAAGAGAGTGTGATAAAGATGGACTGACAGCGCCAGGTGGGAAGAGGGTGAAGTGAGAGGGAAAATATGAAGATGGAAAGTCTAAAATATTCCCTTAAGAATTCAATTCTACCTCAGTGTGTGTGTGTGTGTGTGTGTGTGTGTGTGTGTGTGTGTGTGTGTGTGTGTGTGTGTGTGTGTGTGTTGGAGAAAGGGGACACGTAATGAATTGAGTTCAGAATTGCAGGTGACAACTGCAAAGGCTGCAAGAGAGACAGAGAGAGACACACACACAACTACCCCCACACAACCAGCCCCACACAACTACCCCCACACAACTACCCCCACACAACCAGCCCCACACAACTACCCCCACACAACTACCCCCACACAACTACCCCCACACAACCAGCCCCACACAACCAGCCCCACACAACCAGCCCCACACAACCAGCCCCACACAACCAGCCCCACACAACTACCCCCACACAACTACCCCCACACAACCACCCCCACACAACCAGCCCCACACAACTACCCCCACACAACCAGCCCCACACAACTACCCCCACACAACCAGCCCCACACAACTACCCCCACACAACTACCCCCACACAACCACCCCCACACAACCACCCCCACACAACCACCCCCACACAACTACCCCCACACAACCACCCCCACACAACCAGCCCCACACAACCAGCAGGGTGCCATCAGGCGCTGTTGGGAAATCTTTGTGGTGGATCTGCTCCTAAGGACTAAAAGTAAGAATATATCAGCCTCCAGTGATTTGGACTTTCACCATCTGTTTCACAATAATAATTAAAATGAGGAGCCGTCAACAACACCACCGAAGGGACTTTTGGCCCAGATGTGTGAGGCTGACGGAGGAAGGGGATGCAGGGGGGTA